CAGATTCTCTTGGTAGATATTTGTATCATTCATTTTCTGTAAAGCCCCTTGCATGATCCTGTCATAACTTGCTGTAATCCTTCCTCTGGCTATTTAAAGCCAGCAATATTTGAATACTATACATACTAGCAGATTCTCTTGGTAGATATTTGTATCATTCATTTTCTGTACAGCCCCTTGCATGATCCTGTTATAACTTGCTGTAATCCTTCCTCTGGCTATTTAAAGCCAGCAATATTTGAATACTATACATACTGATGAGCAAGCATTTCATATTCAGATAACTCCTTTTAAATATCTAACCTAATTGATTGTTTTTGTAAACAAACAAATTAACTAAATGGAATATTATAGGACATTTAAAACTTAGAAATTATATACGAAGTCTTTACAACACAAAGAATACAGCAACAGCATAAATTGAAGTACAAAACATTGAATCATTGAGCAAAGAGTAAAAATATAGAAAAGTACCTTTCCCTTCATGAAAGTGACAAGTCGGGAGAGAGAAAGGGGGGCCTTGTTAACCTTACTCATGAACAGCCTCTTCAATATCACCGCGTTGAACTTGCTTCCAGTCCTCCTCACAAGGAATCGATACAGCTGCCACATAAAGAGTCACATTACACCATACCATCAGAATATTCAACAAATTGTCTGATTTGAGCACACAAAATAAATTAACAGAAAACATAAAAAAAGTGTGCGACGTATATTAACCTTGACGAGAAGTTTGAGGTAAATATCATTGGATTTAGGGGCGGTGCGCTTAGTCTTCTTGCTCTTACCTCCGGCGACCAAATCAATACCCTAAAAACAAAAAACAAAAATATCAATCAAATTAAAAATTTGGACTTTTAGAGGGTGAAAAAAAAAATTTAGATTTGCATTGGAGTAAGAAACGAGGCGCACCATGGCTTCTGCTGGTGGTGGTGCCGGTTTCAGCCGCGCCTTCTGAACTAAATTTTAACAAAGGAAGACGATGTAGGGTTTTGTAGTGCCCTTTTATATTCTGTTAAACGAGGTGAAACATAGACATAGTGCGCTTTAAGGTTCGTGGAAATGAACCCTAAAAATGAAGGCCGGCCCATAAGAAGTTTTATTTTCGAGACTTTCATGATTTAGAGATTTTTAAGACCATGGGCCCGGTGAGGCCCAATAAATGTATGGTTGATCCAGCACCATTCAAACTTTCTACAAAATGCAACAAAGGGAAATTACACCCTCGCATATTTTTAACCTTTCCAATTCAAAAATCAGATTCATAAGTTTTCTATTCAAAAATCAACTCATAATTCAAAATTTTAATATTAAAATTTAAATTACTCATTCCATCTACCCTACCGAATTTCATTTCCAAATCCTAGTCATTTCCCTTTTCACATCTCCATCCTCCATCTAACATCTCCCTAGCACAATGAAGATAGTCGTCGTTAGAAGATGACAGCAACACCCACAGAGCCGTGTAGAGACATCATCGTTGCTACACAGTGACGCTATCCAGATATGCCACGCACAGCAACGTTAAATAGTGTCTCGCATGGCTCTACAAAGTGTCGCTGTGCATAACTGTCACATACGATGATGATGATATTGCTGCGCACTACTTCTTTGCACATCGGCTATGATGTCACTGTGTGTGGCTTGCGTAGTGGCAATGATGTCGTCGATGTTGTCGTTGAACGGGGTGATGAAGTATTCGGGGTGATTTTTGGGTTGTTTCTCCATCCTTCGATCTGTTGTTTAGTCAAAGTTTTCTATGATTTTTGTTTGTGGCTTGTAAATTGTGGATGTGGTGATGGTAATGGTGTAGGCGGTAATTGTAATGTTGAAGTAATGATAGTGCTGACAACGACAATGCTGGTGATGGTGGCGGTGTTCGTCGCGATTTTGGGGTATTCTGGTATAGCTTCTACTTCGTCCAATCTATTGCTTATTCGGTATTTTGGGATGATTTTTATTGGTTATTGATTGTGTTTGAAAATGGTGGTGACGGTGAGGTTGGATGGGATGAAGAGTGTTTGTGATATATTATATGCGACATATAAAATAATTTGTGATCAATAAATAAAATGTGACCTAAAAAATATTAGGTTGCAACTAAATTTGTAGTCGTCACCCACAATCTGTTAAATTGTGACCAATTAATTTAATAATTTGTGACCATGAAATAAGTAGTGATCTACGAAATTTATGACTCGTGAGTGAGAAATAACTTGTGACCTTAATATATCTAATTAATAAAATATTTTAAATTATTTATTTAATCGATAAAATTTACCTATTCCCAAATTTTTGAAGTTTTACAATTTATTTTTAAATTTTGAAATTGTATATTTTAACCACCTTAAATATTATGTTCCCACAAAAAAAGTGATACGTCTTTCACGGAGGACAGTTTTTTAGTGTACCAACTACTTACAATTTGCTAAGAAAAATAGATGTTAATACGTCATTTTGTTTAGTGTTCATTATTTCAAAAAAAAAAAAAAAAAAGTTGTGAATAGTATTTTTAAGAAAATGTGTGTAGTTAAAAAGTGAAAAAAAAAATTGAATTTATGTACAAAATATTTTATTGTTTGAATATGTGGTTGAAAATAATTACGTAACAAACAGAGTTTTAAAATAATGGACGCTAAACGTGGGCTGAATGGAGTGGCTAATGAATCAACTTGTCCATAGGATTTCAAGAGCACGTTGACTAATGCATGTACATTTGGTTTATATGTAGATTTTCAAGTCTAAGCCTCTGTTTGGGGCTCATTTTCTTCTGGCAATTTAGAAAAAATTGGACCGTTGGTACAGATTCAGCAGACAACCACAATATTCACTGTAGCATCAGCAGACATAGCAGTGCAGTGTGACGATTTTACCCTTTTATTGTCATGGAAAGTAATGAAAACTAGCACATGCAAAAGAGCAAAACCGAGATACAAGAGAAAAGTGGACAGTCAAATAATGAGTTTTTACTGTAGCAAAGTCTTGATGTGACCCAAAAAATGCATTTTTATTGTAAGAATGCCTACCAAACGAAGGCTAATTTTGAGATCACTTGACGAGTTGACGTTGATTGAAATTAGAAACTTAACGATGGAAGAGCCCGCCTAAGCATGAGGAGTAAGACGTGTCACTAGAACTGGGAATTGAAGATAGAAGTAAACTCCAATGCAAAAAATAATAATAATAATAAAAATAATAATAATAATAATAATAATGTGGTTGAAAATGAAGGAAAATTTATTGATGTGATGGAAAATATTATTTTATTAAAAAATGTGTGGTTAAAAATGAGAAGAAAAAAAATAATGTGCCTCGGAGCCAAAATTAAAATCGACTCATCGTACATCTTTATGCAGTATTTTATGACAATAGAATAACACAAACCACAAGAATTTGCTATTCTCGAAACCAATAATTTGATGTGAGAATCCTACGGCATCATCAAGTATCTCACGTCTGTTCCTTGTCCAACTCTTCAATTATGAAATGAATTGCATTATTCTTTCTAATGTTTGTCTTCTTTGAATAGGTAACGCCATGTGGTCCAAATGGAACCCTACACTGGAACTTGAAAGAGACATTCATCTTGCTTTGTATTGTAATTCATGTATATGGTACCTAAACAATGTAATAATTGACAAACAACGTGATTTTTTTTTTTTTATTGTTATTTTTTACTTGAATGCACGATGTCCATTTGTCATTCTCAACACCACTAAATCATATAGTAGATCAATAATTTAAGTATATTCTTAACCCTTGTTTGGTAGAAATTTAAATTATAGTTTTAATATATTTTGATAAAAAAATGATGAAATGTGTAGTTGTAAAGTTGTGGATCCCATTAAACACGTGGTTAAAATTAATCGTTGATTTGAACTTAAATTATAATCTAGATTTTAATTCCTACCAAACGGGGACTCTCTAGTATTTTTTTCGTCATCTAATTATAAATCGCTCATATATTGTTAATTTCTTTTCGACTTACTTCATTTGTGACATAACAATAAAAAATATGTCGGTCAATTGCAACACATGCCAAACCGAACTTGAATCAATGATTTTGTATGCTAGGCGACGATGTTACCTAACTTTCTTATACTTTTCCGAGCGTTATGATCTTTTCTTCTTTCTTCCATCTCCATTTACTTGAATAAACCCCAAGCTATCGAAGCATATGAATTAATTGACCAATTCCAGATAATAGATATACTAAAATTACATATTATACATTTTCACTTATTGTCCCAAATTTTAGTACTTCGAGTCTTCGAGTGGAAATTCATGAATAAAATGGGTGATTCGTGGAGATCAAACCCAACTTGGCCCCATTTTTTAAAATTCACTTTTCTCAAATTCATTGTTAACTCCACATTTTATGGAATCCACTATTTTTATCATTTTTTCAATCATATATTTCCGAAACTTTTATTAAAATATATTAGAAATATGATTTTTTGGTATGCAAACCATGAATTAGAATGATAATTAAATTCCAGTTATCCTTTATATTAAAGATCAAGCTCAAGGTGTGTTTGATACCCATTAAAATTTCATTATCATTCTTCTACTCATTTTCAACCACACATTCTTCATTAAAATAATATTTTCCTTCTTTTTCAACCACACATTCGAAATAATACTCCCCTCCAAAAAAGAAATTTTTAAATCAATTTTATAGTAAAATTCTGCAAAATCAAAGCTTGTAATAGCCTGTTGAAATGGAATTTCGCTTAAACAGGAAAATCTACAAACAATTGTCACAAATTCCTCAGATTCATTAAAAGACTGCAAAAATTTAAGAAGTGATGAACAAATATTGCATTACTATGTAACGGTAACAAGGCAACAAAGACCTCAACGTGAACACTCTGTTCCTACACCTAAGAACTGACGTTACAGAGCTATAGCAATTATAGAGTACGTAATATAATCTACTGAGGATCATAGTCCAAGGGAAGAAAAACTGGATTCAAATTCAAATTTTCCACTTCATTGTCGTCTGATTTTGTTCTTCAAGAGAATCTCCCTCAACTCGGCGGCGTCAATATCTTTGGATTGATTTTCTGGCCGGTAATATCCAGTGACTGGATCCGGCACCCACGAGGTTTTGGTCGATTCTTTCTCTCCTTTCTTCAACATCACGTTCGAAGCCCCTCCCCCAACACTGCTGGACACACCACTCTGTGATGATGCCGCTGCATATCCCCTTCTGTACAAACAAATCACAACATATCAAAATTCTACTCCAATCTATAAACAAAATTTCAATATCCGATTAAAATTTCACAGGAAATCAAACATCCACTATTTGTACCTGGGGACAGCTGCGGAGATTCTGTTAGCAACGAGAGAGGAGAAAATCTTAGCACTGGAGAATGATCGAGCCATTGTTCTTCAGTTTTCCTTAGTGCAAACAGGAATTGTGTGTGTATGATTTTCTTCTGATAGTACTGAGTGAATTGAAGTCCTAGGAGGAAAGAAGTCCGTATTTATAGGCAAAAAACAAGGAAAGCGTGTGGGTGTAGAGGTAGGGAAATGGAAAAATAAAATTGATTGGAGCCAATGAGCCATTCAACGTCCTTACTTTCTTATCATACTCATTGACACCAGGTCAGTGCCACTTGGGCATGTTGTTCAATTTGCCGCTTATGGCACGTTTGGCTATGCACGACACGGATAAACGTAAACTTGTAGACTTAAAACAAGTGAAGCGAAATATCAATCGACTTCTATAAAATAATTTCACGAGATAGATTAAGCCCCTATTTGGTAACCATTTTGACCTCATTTTTAGATAAATTCCAACCGTTATACAGTGTAATTGTCAGAAAGGAGCCAGTCTTTTGTTGACCGAATTTGGTTAAATTACCAATTTGCCCTTTCAAATAAAATTCTTTTTGAGAGAAGTTGCGGCAATTCCGTAAAAAGTCTCATGTCAAATCAAAGCTTGGGTCTCACTGAGAGATATAACGGTAATAAATTGTATTCTCATTTTTTGCCAAAATGGTTTCCAAACAGGGGCTTAAGTTTTATTTATTTATTTTTTTGTGACTTCGATGTATTTCAAAGACAGTTCGAGGGAAGCTAATTTTTCTTGTCACAGAGAGAAATTGACTATTGGATCCCTTGTAATTTGATCATCAACAACATAATCCATTATCCTGAAATAGTCTTACATAATAAATTAATGAAATTTTCTCATTAAAGGTCAAAGATTCATTTTATCAACAAAAATTGAATGGAATCTTTTTCTCCTATAATTTAAAAGATGGTCTTTTCGGTTCTTGAAAATGATCACCACCTTTGAGGATCAAAATGATTATCCTTCTTTTATGAATCTACATCCATTCTCGAATGTCGTTAGGTATTAGTAACGAGGATAGAAATATATAACAATAGATTTCTTTATTCTAGTTGAAGAAGCAATGTCACTTGATGATTATCAAACTGGATCACTCATGCATGACTGAAAGTTTCTTCCAACCAAACACGTACTTAAATTGCCAAGTCAAAGTTTATTATCTAGCCGTCGAGATTGACTAAGCGACTTGACTTCCTGTAATCAATCAATTAGCACACGTGAAGAACGTTCCACGAGTTGGGAAAATTCGGTCAGCAAATAATGTTGATAGCCACTGGGTGCACAATGGGAAGTGTGTGGAAGGGTCTAGAATCTGGCCAGTTCAATCAATTTTATTACAACCTATTGGCTATTTGTTGTGTAC